ATATATTATGTTTTAGAATACGAGGATTTATTTATTTTATATTCTGAGGAATACAATGATATAAATAGTTACTGACAATCGTAGAAATATGTTAACCAGTGTTTTTCTAAATGTTTAAAAATCAAAACATATCTTAATTACTAAGATAAATTGCCTGCTTATTTAATGGTTTACAATAAAAGTACCACCCTGTAAGTAAAAATATATATACAAGGAATAAGATTTTTCTCATTCTTGAAAGTCGAAATACAGGCAAAACCAAGATAAACATAAAAACTTTATGCCGACGAATCGGCTGGATACCTATAAAATATTATAATATTATGACTGTTCCCCATATACGATTTATAGAAACTGAGCGCTGCAGCTATATACTATATTATAATATGTATATGGATGTGTACTGTGTTTAGTGGTAAAATGTCAATGGGAATATCGTTTTTCGGGTCTGTATAATAAACGAAATGTTTATGTAGAAGTCGTATATGTACGAAAACAATGTTTGAACTGATCTAAATATTGTGTAAAAATATATTAAATTATACAGTGACGAATCTAAGATTTTGTCAAAGGGGCATAATCGTATATACGTTAGCAAATATTTAATTTCCTTAAGGAGAGTAGGTAATTCACTTACCATCATCTACATCAAAATATTATAAATAAGTAACAAAGGGGATTTACGTCTTCATATTCCCCCCGTAAATACGCCACTGAAATTATATAATTTTCTTTTCGATTTTTGCGACTCATTTCTTCATTGCAAGCACGTAATCATTTATATTAATTGGTATCCGTACAATTCAACACGATTACACGAACAGTCCCTAGTAGTAATCTATTTTCGAGTTGTTGGTCATTTTAATTAAAAATATATGCTTCAATCAGTATTTGACGATGGCGATGTTTATGAAAAGTAAACGAGACAAATACATGGTGGCTTCTTATAAATATTATTTTTATTTTATTTTTTTTATTTTTTATCTAGAAATTATACAATCTGTACATAAAAAAAAGCGGGTAAGTCGTGGATGTCGCTCTGCTGTACAGTAGGTTACTGTAATGGATGGGATTAAATTTGAATGCAATGATAGGTATCATTGTATACGAAAAACGATTCTGAACGGAGATGATTTGTCAGTCTAGGATATATTATATTTAA